CTATCCAATGGAATAAAGCGAATTATCGTTCGAAATATTAAAAAAATTCCAAGAATGAGTGCTCCTAAAGTTGCTGCTGATTTACAAGCATTATATGGAGTAATTGTTAAACCTGAGACTATTAGAAGAGTAATTCGATTTGCTGGATATCACGGTTGAGCAGCCAGGAAAAAATTCTTCGTGAGTGAAAAGAATAGAAAACTCAGACTGGCTTTCGCAAAATACAACATAAATAAGAATTCTGATTATTGGAATGAAGTTATACTTGCTGATGAGAGTAAATTTAACATATTTGGTTCTGACGGTAGAATCTTGGTGTGGAGAAAACCCAGGGAAGAATTTCGAAAACAGAACTTGGTGCCAACAGTAAAACAGGGTGGAGAAGGAGTTATTGTATGGGGGTGTATGTCGTCCGCTGGAGTTGGTACTCTTGTTTTTATTGACAGTATAATGGATCAGTACGAGTATATTGACATTTTAAATCAAAATTTGAAATCTTCAGCGCGAAAATTGAACCTTCATAACAATTTTAAATTCTACCAGGACAATGACCCCACACTGCTTTGAACATTAGACTCTGGCTGCTGTATAACTGTCCTGAAATAATAAAAACACCACCACTATCTCCAGACTTAAATCCCGCAGAGAATATTTGGCAAGAATTGGAATCAAGAATTCGCAAACACACCATTTCTTCAAAACAACAATTAAAATCGGTGCTTCAAGAAGAATGGGGTAAAATCACTCCAGAAATCACAAAAAAATTAGTCGAACCCATCCCAAGAAGATTAAATCATGTTTTAAAACCAAAAGGAAATCCAACAAAATATTAAAAACTTTTAAAAAGTAAAATTTTTGGATAAATATTTGATGGAAAAGTAAGTGTCCCATCACTTATGTGAGCCATTTTTTTGCTCCGTTCTAAGCAATTGTATTTTTTATTAAATTAATATTTTAATGTTTTTTGAGAAAATGAATGTTATGTAATAATTGTTACTAAATTTATGTATGAAACACACCCAAAAAAAATTTGTACATGTTTTTTTAATTTATTTTAATACAGTTTCCTTTTGTAAAGCACAAGTGTCCCATCACTTTTGTGAGACACTGTAAGTGCTCGACGTCTTTGTTTCGTGCGTATTCTAACCTTGTTGTACTTTACTCTAATTACTCTAATCGCTGAAACTTCTATTTTATTTTGATATTTTCGATTAATGAACCATGCTTCTAACCGTAAAATGCAAATGCAAGTGGTTTGATTGATTAAATTTGGTTAGTTAAATTGATTTTGATATCAGAAAAGCCCATTACCTTCTAGTTTCATTTTTCGTGTAACGAAACGAAAAATGAAATGTTACATTATGTTGCAAGTTATATCAAGTTACCAAATAATTGCCCAATCGTTTATGAAGCACATGATCTGCCAAATTACAAATTATGAGAGCTGCTGTGAAGGAGAAAAGTATAATGTCTGTAATTTACCTTTCAAATTTTATCGACATATTATTTATAGCAAATTGAAATTTTCAAAAATAATGTACATATATTTTCTAATGGTGGTATTAACATTTAAGCCAATAATTTGCTCACTATTTCGTCTATCCTGGCTTTAGGAAGATCATTGACTATTCATTTATTACATCATTACATTAGATTTTCATTTTTTAAAGCAGTGTTAGATCGAAACGTCGCCCACAGAGAAAAGACCTATCAAAATTAAGTTGAATAGCACTAGTGGAATTATAAAAGATATTTCTATTTTATATAGGTACCTATATAGATATAGGTACCTATATATAGGTACCTATATAAAGACATCAAATGTTTCTTTTGAATATTCCGATCGATATTTCATCAAGCTTTAAGAATGAAATAATACATTGCTCAAAGAAATTTAATGACATCAGAAAATATACCTAATATTACGCGTTTATTTTTCATAACTTGCAAATTTTTAGAGAAGTAATTACATTTGCCTTAGTTTTCATAGTTCACGGTCATTTTTACTTAAATTTCAAAACGCTTAGGAACTGAAGAAGATAAGTGCCTAAATATGCGCAAAGTTAGATACATAATGTATCAGGGATTCCCAGCCCTATGCCCACGGGCACCATGGCGCCCGTCGATCGGTTAACGTGTGCTCGCCGCTACGCGATCACAATAAAAATGTTTTAGTTTTCAATAAAATTCTGTGTGAAAGTTTCCTCATTTTTAATGAATTAGAAATTGCGTCCAATACCAGCACAAAGCAAAATGGGACCGGTCCCTTTTTATATGTACATCAGTGGCGTAGCTAGGGTGGGGCAAGGGGGGACATTTGTCCCTGGGCACAGCATCCAGGGGGCGTCAAACTGATGGTGCGAAATTTTAGAGTGAAGTGTTTTCCATTCGTGACAAACAGAAAGGGGCGCAAAATCTCCAGTTGTCCCCGGGCGCTGAAAACCCTAGCTACGCCTCTGATGTACAATGTATCCAACTGTAAATTCACCTTAAAAAAGTAAATGGTGCCCGCACTTCAACAGATATTCTAGAATGTGCTTTTAGGAACAAAAAAGTTGGAGATATTGCTGCCTAGACAGAACACTTGAATGTCCCTAATAGAACAGATATTCCATGTCAGCTGGTAAATTCCCCTAATATGGAGTTTTCTTCGAAATGAAATTCCTGTTTAATTCTGCAGAGTCTATGAAAATACTGCTTACATTCATAACTCGTCTAATTTATAACAGTGAGACTCATTAATGGTGCGCGAAAAAATATTGCGTAAGAGATAGAACTGTCCGGAAAGACTATTAAAGTTTAAATGAAAACTAACATTTTAAAACAGATTTCAGATGAAAAGAAGTGAACAGATAGATTCCTTCATAATGGGTAAAGTTTAGAAAGAAAGCATGCGCTGATTGTTGATTTTCCGTAAATTATGTGACGAATTTGCTTAAAGTCCAGGCGTAAGCGTCTGTGGCAAAAGCCTGCAACAAGTGGTGACTAATCATAGTGAATGTTCTAACTGGGGATGAGGATGAAGGATGAAGTAATATCAGCATCTAACTACAGTAAGACCCCGCTTAACGCGGGGGATACGTTCCATCGAAGTAGAGCGTAATGCGAAACAGCGCTAAGCGAGGCTATCTTAACATGTAAATAATGGGGTTAGGGGAAGACGGATAAAAAATGGTTAGGCATTAAATTTAATAATGTTTTTTTAATAAAAATAAAATCAAACATTTATTTCTTACAAAAATAAAAACAATATAAACGCATATACTTTTAAAAACAAATAAAATTCTCAGTCAGATCATTCAGTCTATTCTGGGTTTCCAATTTTCTCTGCCTTTTTGTGAAGAAGGCATTATGATAGATTGGCTTAATGGCATATTGCGTTCAATTTCGTCGTCAATCCATATAGACAGTCGTTTTTTTTTTCCATTTCCTCTATAATGTTATTTCTAGAACGGGTAATTCTAGTTGCAGAGCTTGACGTAGTTGCAGTTGCCGATGACAGTATTTTTTTCTTTATTCTTAAGAAAGAATTGTCCTTATTGTTGAAGTTGCCAAAATCAATGCAGCACTAATTTGAGATTGACGTTCACCAGAATCTAATCTTCTAATCACTTGCATTTGAGTTTCCAGTGAAATGCTTTTTCTGGTGGCTTTCTTTTCTTGTTTTTTATTATCACCCACGATAAAAACTAAAGATCATAATATTTGTCACTGTATTAATCGGTATAGTATAATGTCAACAAATGTTTCAAATGATAAAAATGCGTCCACCAAGCAAGAAACACAACTACACTGTTTCGGATATGTTATTTGGAAACCTAGCGCTGCGCACAATTTCGGAGAATCCCCGGGTTGAAATAAAAGAGCGCTAAACCGAAACAGCGCTAAACGAAACAGCGTTAAGCGGGGTCTTACTGTATTGTGTATTTGTAACGTTTTCTCTGTTCCCGTTTTTTTCCCAAGGGCTCCCAAAATTAATATAAAATATACGAAATAAAGAACATGAAATTTGAAAATCGAAATCCTGTGCTCGAAATATTCTTACATTAAAAGTTTAGGATTGCATAATCTGCGACGACCATCCAAAGTTTTAGTATTGTTTAAACGTCTATTTGATTTAAAGTATATTTGTTTTGCTCTTTATTTTGTAATTGCTTTTGAGTGTCGGATTTACATATAATGTTATTTGACCAATTTTTTTTTTGAGTAGTTAATGTGCATAATCTAAAGTTTTTTATTGTTTTTGGTTTAGTAGTCTATTTCGCCATAATGTAAAGTTTTATTGTTTTTTGGAGTAGTCTATTTGGCATAATGCAATATTTTATTCTTTTTTCTAAGTGTTTCGAATGCTTGTAGGGAAAATTCTGGATACATATGAGATTTGATTTTTCTGTTTTAAATGAATTTTAATGTCTTAAAATTTAATTGAATATTTTTTCGGTTTTTGATCTCAAATGAACCAGAAGAATGGAACATGTATTCGAAACATATTAATCGACTTTTATGAAACTTCAATTCCTCTTTCCCTGATGAGTTATGAATTAGAGTTTCAGTAAAAGAAGATTAATTTTTATAATTTTGTATATTTTTTCCTTTTCGCGTTTTTATTTTTCGAGTCTGTTCTGATGAATTCATATTTTAATTTTGATATGTTTAGATACTGTGTTAAACCTCTTATCCACGATTGCAATTATTAATATTGTTAAGGAATTGTCTTGCTTTGATTCCAATTTAATTTTAGCTTTAGTCCTGCAACTACAGCGTATAACTGGTTAAAAAATTTTGATTTTAATTTTTGGCCTATTACTACTCCCCCCCTCCTCTAATAATACAACTAGGTATTCGTAGACCTACACGCTAAATATAATTAAAATGAATAATAATAAGGGTTAGATTTTTATTTTCACTTATTTCTCAATTATTCCATCAAGATTTCCGAAGAAGTTGCCGCAAATTAAATAAAAAGAGAGAAGAACTCGAGCAAAGGAATGAATATTTACTTTTTTTCTCTTTTTCCAGCTCCTGTGTCTCTGAACCCTTTGGCGAAAGGATTGTGATCAATCTTCAACTGTGTAATCTGAAAATAAACATCAAATATTAGAGTTAAAACAGCAAAAGAAACACTTTTATAAACTGTCATCGAAATTGGCTTAAGGCGGAAATAAGCTGCAAAATTAGCTTCACTAATGGTTTAAAGACGATATAAGATGTTTAAATTTGTTCTCGAGAATAGAACCTCGGGCTTTTAATTTCTTTTCTCTCTCAAGTTTAGACGTAAAGAATAAATATATTCTGTCTAAAAAGAAAATGCACTATTATGCGAGTGTTCATTTTAAAAAATATTCAAACATGAAGAAGTGAATACCCCCCTCCCTCAAGAGCACCATCTAAAGGTAGTTTTTTTTATTTTATTGCGGCATAATTAATAACAGAATACAGCTCCAATTATCTGCGAGTAGTAATCAAATTTTTCGCGGAAATTCAAACGAGAAGGAAGCATAGAAGCTTATTTCGTTCAAGAATAAAACTTTTCTGCATAATTTTGATTAAAAGCCTCTTACTCTGTTTATTTATTGGCATGGGCATATAAAAAATATCTTAGTTTTCGTGTATGGAATAGTTTTGCCGGTATTAAAACCTACCTTCAAATTTTTGTAAACCTCGATTTATTGCAACATTTTCATAGGTGCAAGGTTTTTTAAGCGTAGAGCTTATCAATACTTTTTAAAGTAAAGTATTGGTAAGCAGTAAAATGTTTGCTGTTTTAACCAATGCATTTTGTGTTGAAAATTTGTGTCCGTTCACTTTTCAAATTTTTGCCACCAAATATTAAAGCCCTGTATTATATTTAAAGAAATTAAATAATGAAGAATTTGCATAAATGCAAGTATGTTTCTCGCATTGTGATAAAACAACGGTACCTAAAGCCACCCAATTTTGAATAACGTACTTCTCCACCCGAATATGAGAATCTGGAAGTCAGAATTTGGAATTTTTTATTATCTATTTCATATTTTGTAAAGCATTTATGAGTTTTTGATTAAGACACAACGATTTCAAAGCGAGCCATGGCAACACTAAGAAAAAAAAAACTTTTATTTCCAGCGCGAGACTGTATATCAGAAATTCTAAAGATTTTAAAATTATTTTGCGATATTGCTGTTGAATTGAATTTTATGGTTTAAGTGCAAAGAACATGATATTTAATTAATAAGTCTAACACATAAAACATTAAAAAAATGCCGTTTGGGCGTAATATAAAATCTGAAAATTTTCAGTTTATTATTATTATTAGTCCCTGAGGTTTGAACTGTTTTATATAATACTTCTATTAATAAACAGAACAGTTTTATTTAATACTTCTGTTACTGAACAGAACAGTTTTATATAATACTACTATTACTTAACAGAACATTTTTATATAATACATCTATTACTAAACAGAACAGTTTTATATAATACTTCTATTACTAAACAGAACAGTTTTATATAATACTACTAATACTCAACAGAACAGTTTTATATAATACTTCTATTACTAACAGAACAGTTTTATATAATACTACTATTACTCAACAGAACAGTTTATATAATACTTCTATTAATAACAGAACAGTTTTATATAATACTATATTCTCAACAGAACATTTTATAATACATACAGAACAGTTTTTATATAACTTTATTACTCAACAGAACAGTTTTGTATAATATTACTATTACTCAACAGAACAGTTTTATATAATACTTCTATTACTCAACAGAACATTTTTATATAATACTTCTATTACTAAACAGAACAGTTTTATATAATACTTCTATTAATAAACAGAACAGTTTTATTTAATACTTTTGCTACTGAACAGAACAGTTTTATATAATACTACTATTACTCAACAGAACAGTTTTATATAATACTACTATTATCAACAGAACATTTTATATAATACTTCTATTACTAAACAGAACAGTTTTTATATAATACTACTATTACTCAACAGAACAGTTTTATATAATACTACTATTACTCAACAGTTTTATATACTTCTATTACTAAACAGAACAGTTTTATATAATACTACTATTACTCAACAGAACAGTTTTATATAATACTACTATTACTCAACAGAACAGTTTTATATAATACATCTATTACTAAACAGAACAGTTTTATATAATAATACTATTACTCAACAGAACAGTTTTATATAATACTTCTATTACTAAACAGAACAGTTTTATATAATACTTCTATTACTAAACAGAACAGTTTTATATAATATTTCTATTACTCAACAGAACAGTTTTATATAATACTTCTATTACTAAACAGAACAGTTTTATATAATACTTCTATTACTAAACAGAACAGTTTTATATAATACTTCTATTACTAAACAGAACAGTTTTTTATAATACTACTATTACTCAACAGAACAGTTTTATATAATACTTCTATTACTAAACAGAACAGTTTTATATAATACTACTATTACTCAACAGAACAGTTTTATATATTACTTCTATTACTAAACAGAACAGTTTTATATAATACTACTATTACTCAACAGAACAGTTTTATATAATACTTCTATTACTAAACAGAACAGTTTTATATAATACTTCTATTTAGTGGTTGACGAATATAAAAGGTCGAAACGGGCCAGTTTTTATATTTTTTATTAGCCCAAAGGGGCAATTTGCCCTGAAGGGCTATTAATTTCATTTTGGCATTTTGCCTCGGTTCAATATAAATGTCGGTTCACTTTTCAAACTGTTGCCACCAAATATTATCGCCCTATATTATATTTACAGAAATTAAATAATAAGAATCTGCATGAATGTATGTATGTTTCTCACACTGTGAAGAAACAAAGGTAACTAGAGCCATCAAATTCTGAATAACGTAGTCCTCCATTCGAATATGGATATCTCGAAGTCCAAATTGGGAATTTGTTTTATTATCTATTTCGTATTTTGTCAAACATTAAATAATTTGTGATTAACGAACTCACCGATTTCAAAGCGAGTCATGGCAACACTACGTGAAAAAAAGAAAAAAAAATTTCTCCAGCGCGGGAGAATGTAACGGAAATTCTAAAGATATGTTCTTTTTAAATTATTTTGTGATATTTGTGTTGAAATGAATTTCACGATTTATGTGCGAAAAACATGATATTTACTTTTAAGAATTATGTTAATTTTATTAACAGTTAAATTTTAAGTTAAAGTTCCTTTCCTGTCAAATTTTTAACTTCAACTTGTTACTTCCGGCCAGAACGTAGTTTTGGAATTTGCTGAATATTTAATGAGCGGTATTTAAACAGCGAAGTTACTTACTGAGTCAGAGAGAATCAGAGTTTCTGATTTACGCGCGTCTGCCTTTTTGGCCACTCTCTTTCTCAAAGCTGTTATTACGCACGGCCGTATTCAGGCCCTTGCTAAGCTTCGTAGTCAAATAAGTTAAGGGGCCAGCTCAGTTTGAAACTTGATAGCTTCGGCTACACTTCTTTTTAGTTGATCTTAGTTTTATTCTTAGTCGTTTAAGTTCAAGTCCAAGTGAGGGCTTTGCTTGTACACTCCCAGGCGGAGTTTTGTTAAATCTTATTGGAATAATAAAGGGTTAGTTACCCTTCTATTTTGTTGTTTCTTGTCACCGAACGCATGCGATTATTCGCTTATCAGTTCTTAGATTCTTCACTTCCAACATTAACTTAGAATTCCAAAGTGAGGAACTCTACATACTAAATAAAGGTAACACGCAAAACATTTGAAAAAAAAAAAAGAAAAAAAGAAAAAGAAAGGCCCTTATGGGCGTAATATAAAATCTGAAAACTATGATTTATTTATTTATTTTGCTCTTTTTCCCGTAAGTAAATATGAAGTTACCTTTAGGGAGTTCCTTAAATAGTCACAGTGTTCTCTATCCTAATTAAAATAATGCAGTCCGATCCTCAGCTCCTACAAATGTATGGTACTCAGAGAAAAAGATAGGTCCTTATTGCGCAACACTGAATTGCTGCTATTAACGTTTAAGTTTTAGCAAAATAGCGGCAAATACATACATAAATAAATAAAAGCGTGGGTTCATTTAACTGCAACTTTAACCGACCACCACACCTTGCTAAGTTTAGCGTGACACTCGAAACTGCCACGCTCATTTCTGGCAGCGAGACTCGTCATTAGTGGTTAAAGCGCGAATCAAAGTGGATGGAGGGAAGAAGAATCGTAAAAACAAAAGAAAAATAACGGCTCCAGAACCAATTAATGCGAGGATTTGAAAACACTCCTTCAAATTGTCGCCACTGCAATTAAAACGGAAAGGCGCCAAACTCCGCTTCGTCATTCGCGCCTGTCTCTAATGATCGCCTTTCCCTCTTTTGCTGCTGCTCTTGGTCTTCTCTCTGCGTCTCCATCAATGCTGAAGAGTTCCAATTACCGACCGTCGCTGGCGTCTCTCGCGACAGCCTTTCACACGGAAACGTGCACATACCGTTCCCTGCACTAATTAGTGTCTTTTCTGACGCGGCTGAAATTGGCACCAGGGAATGTTACGCCTCCCTTTCATTTTATTTAAGCATTGATATTCAGATTTTTTTTATAGATTTTGGGAAATAATTTGACTTATAATGACAGTTTGGAAAAGCAAGAAATAACAAGCATAAATCGCCATATTTGGCTTTGTGAAATCGAATATTCTCAAAGAATGTGTAATTACACGTAAACACTGCTGAAAGCTGCAAAGTCATTAGGTTAATTGAAAGCAGAAAAGATGAAAAATAGCAACCGCCTTCGCCGAGAATCGAACCACGGACCTCTGGAATACCGGCCTAGCGTGATACCGTTACACCACGAAGGCACGCTAGGAAAGTGGGAGAAATACCTTATATACTCCTCTTTTTAAAGGGAGACTAAGGTTTTAGGGGACTTAGTCGCCAAATCCTGGGTGCGGAGAATCATCATCCACAACCGCTTTAGTTCGGGCGCCGCTTGTAGACTCATTAGGTTAATTGGAAGCAGAAAAGATGATAAATAGCAACCGCCTTCACCGGGAATCGAACCACGGACCTCTGGAAT